AAAAGCAAAATTACAACACCCCAAAACAGCTTTTAGTTTACAAATAAGCTATAATCAGAAGCAAACAAATAAGCTGATCATAACAAGCAAACGAGCACGGCTGGAAAACATATTCAATGGTTTTTATATTCAATAGCAACCTTTGCAAACGACCCAAAAAGACATAAAATCAAACAATCAAAAGGTAAATGGTTTTATTTCGTCTCTTGAATTCACTAGTCCGTAACAGCATGTACAAGAAAAAATACTTTTAAAACTCTTACCTTAGTTCTCAGTGTTCCTCCAAAAAGGGCACCGGAACACCAGAGGTCAGGGTTCTGCTGAACTGCAGGTTGCTCAGATGACGAATCTGGGGAAAGAAAGGAAGCCCTTTCTGCAGGTTGCTCAGAGGTCGGGGCGTTTTATGGATTAATTGTATTTACCTCCCCTGAGTTTTGCCAAACAATTTTTTTTATTATTATTATTTTACCCTTGAAAATTAACAAATTCAACAACAATTAGATAAATAACTGAGACCACACCCCAATCGGCTAATTGATTAGAATATTGGTGTATAAAAGAAAAGTCAGACACTTGCGGGTCTGACAGGGGTGTGGTATAAATCTATGGGTGCCGGGCCGTGTCAGCCCGGCACCTGACACCAAAAAATTTTTTTTTTTTTATAGTTGACACATGGGTGCCGGGCTGACACAGCCCGGCACCTGACAAAGTCTGCAAAAGCTGGCTGCCGGGCACTCTCTGCCCGGCAGCCAGTCAAATTGTTAAAAAAAAAAATTCGGCAGGCTGAAAAACAAAGCTGGCTGCCAGTGAAATTGTTTAGAAAAAAAAAATGCGAAACAAGGTACTAAACTATAGAGCCTTCTTTTTGTTGGGGAAGAAAGAGGAGGGGTTACAGGGGCACTGTTGGATATACGTAGAGGCGGTAGGGAGTTGGGAATGGAAGCTAAATTGCGGAGGAAAGAAAGCTCCTGTTAAGTGAAAAGAAGCTCAGCAATTTGTTAAGTGAAAAGAAGGCAGCTCCTGTGAAGCAAAAAAGCTGAACCAAAAGAAAAATTTACGTACGATAACTGTTAGCCATTTAGTCCGGGTAATTTAAATATTTGAAATAATACCTATGCTAATAAAATAAATATATAAAATTAATGTAATTAGCATAGCTTAATTTCGAAACTAGTGATATTAGTTTAATGCAATTCATTTTTTGTTAAGATAGTTGATAATTAGTTTACGTTATGTAGTATACAATTATTTTAATTAGTTTAGTGGATTAATTAGTTTAATTAATTGAATGAATTAATTTTAAGAGGTCTGATTAAATGAATTTAGATGTATTTGGCGAGGTTAATTAATTGAATGGATTAATTGAACGAATTTGTGCAATTGAGTTTTGATTAAGATAGCCATTTAGTCGGGGCAATTTAAGTATTTGAAATAATATCCATGCTAATAAAATAAATACATAAAATTAATATAATTCGCATAGCTTAATTTCGAAACTAGTGATATTAGTTTAATGCGATTCACTTTATTTGTTAAGATAGTTGATAATTAGTTTACGTTTTTTAGTATACAATTATTTTAATTATTTTAGTGGATTAATTAGTTTAATTAATTGAATGAATTAATTTAAAGAGATTTGATTAAATGTATTTAATTAAGGTGCTGGGCTGACCCAGTCCGGCACCTGACATCTTTTTTTTTTTAAAAAAAGGCACCTGATATCTTTTTTAAAAATAGGGAATCTGTCAGGTGCCAGGCTGATATCTTTTTTTAAAAAAAGGAACATATCTGTTGTTTTTAAACCTGTCTGATTTTTTTTTTACACCTATATTCTAATCAATTAGCCACAGAAGAATGCATTTCTGACAATATTCTTCCATCCACGGAATTAAAGTGGAGGTAAGAATTAAACATTGGTTACATTTCTATGGTGGAAAGTTCACTTTTCTGCGCACAATAAGCAGAAGCAACGCAAATGTGGAGATGCATAAAGAAGTATATTGGACACTCGAAAAAACGAATTATGCATGGATGAAAAATATTATATATATTAAAATTATAATAAAAGTCCTTTTAAAAATTTATTCATTATTTAATGTTCAATACTTTATTTGGTATATTAAAATAATTAATTAAATATTCTATTATATTATAAGTAACTATATAACGTTAAGTCGATTGAATAATATGTAAGCAGTTATTGTTTCACGACCTGCTAAAGTCTAATGGAGCATAGTTTTTTTGTCCAATCGTACGTAAATTTTTCTTTTGGTTCAGCTTTTTTGCTTCACGGGAGCTGCCAGACATTTTTTGTTTTGTCCACAAGCCTGCCAAAAGGGGCAAATCTGAAGCAAAAAAGTGTGAAAAATTCACGAGATCTACTTTGTCTGAATTGCATTGAAGCCTGCCGATTTTTTTTTTTAACAATTTGACTGGCTGCCGGGCAGAGAGTGCCCGGCAGCCAGCTTTTGCAGTCTTTGTCAGGTGTGTCAGCCCGGCACCCATGTGTCTTTTATAAAAAAAAAAAAAATTTTTTGTGTCAGGTGCCGGGCTGACACAGCCCAGCACCCATAGATATATACAGAACCCCTGTCAGACCCGTAAGTGTCTGAATATTTTTTTTTTCACCTATATTCTAATCAATTAGCCACCCCAATCTGTACCACCGCAATCTGCCATTGCCAACATATTCATAAATGCAATGCCCTCAGAGAACACCAAACATTATTATTAATTCCCAACTGTGATTGGAATAACTATGGGCCAAATTTTAGAAAATAAAATAAAATTGAGGCACCAATATTCCAAAGGAGAGTCAAATTTAAAACCTCTATAGGTTAATAATTTTAGAACGATACAAATTTTATTAATTTAAAGAGATATTAATTAATTGATAAATTAGTGCACTTACAATTTTAAAAAAATACCTCATTTAATTTTATTTTTATAAAAATATGAATTATTCTATTAATAAAAGTAGGCTAAAGTTCAAAGGTCTCAAGTTTAGAAAAATTTAGATTTAAATTTTAAGGGGAAAAAAACAACAATAGACTCATATTTTAACTCGTAGTTTAGGAAAATATGATATGTAATTTTATTAATTTATGATATGAATGATACTAAATGGTTATGTAAGGTTTTCAAAAAAAAATTATCTTATTATTTTATCAAAATTATCAATTTAGCTCGTTAGCCCAAGTCAGGATCGAAAAATTTTATTATTTGATAGAAGTTATTAATTTATCAAATACTAGTTTATAGATTTTTACTGTATCTCAAAATATTCAAATAAAACTTCATTTGCATTTTTCATAGTCATATGCATACCCAACATTCAATCATTTTTTATCATGTGACCACTATTCAATCATTTTATCAGGTGACCAGCATTCAATCATTTTTTATGTACAAAAAGGTCATATCTCACTTTTTAAGTGGCAAAAATGGCTCGGATCCTGCTTTTTTAGAAGAAAAATAAATATGATTCAGTTCAAATTCTACTTTTCTGATGAATAAAAATGAATATGGATCATGTAATTTGTTTAATTATAAATGGAATCTAATTTTTTTTGTCCTTAAAAAATGGATTATGTATGAGTCCTGTGATAAATTCAAAATAAAAAGTAGTAAAAAATTTATATCGGAATCAAATTTTATCAGCTTATTTTTGTAAAGAACATAAATTTACTATTTTAAAAGTGAAAGAACTTAAAAAATTCATTTGACGAATATATGACGAACGTTTTAAATAATTTTCTCATAAAATTTTATACAAACTCCCAAAAACACACTTCAAAATGGGCCTTGGCTTGGTTTGGGCATTAGAAGACGAGACGACATAAATTTTATTAGCATGGGCTGCATGCATTAGTATTGGCAATTTACGTAAAAAGGAAAGAACAAATTTGTTCTCCAAATCCTCAAATACACAAAAGTTTTTCTAGAATTTCTATAGTAAATTACAATAATCTTGGACTGCTTGCGTTAGTATTGGAAATTTATGCAAAAAAAAAAAAAAAAACTTTACATTTTACCATTTTATCCATTGCAGGAAAACATAAAGTGTTAATTTGCCTAAAGTTTTTCAGCTTGCTTAAATCAAAATTCCTTCACTCCTTCAAACATCAAAAGGAAACCTCTTTGGGTGAATGTCCAACGCATCAAATAAAACCTAAACATAAAAGAATTCATATTTTATGCACTTTCAACGTAGAAAATTTCTCTACGCTGATACATTTAAATGCACGCCGAATGTGTAAAAAAACAAATTTAAAAATGTAAACAAAAATTATGTGACAGACATCTAAATTTGCTAGCTGAGGTAATGAAATTTATACAGGCGTATAGAAAAAATAATCCAACATTTAATATAGAATTAAGTCGATAAACAATCAAATTAGCCCTCTAATTCCATGAAGTCAGAGAATACAAAATTGATTTATAGGACAAATCAGAATAGACTGTGTACAAATATGGGTGGCAAGGCTGAAGATGACAAACATCAAATTAAAAGAATGATAGAAGTACGATGACCTCTCAATTTGACCATTCGATTGCAAAGGAACTACTAATGCTATTTCCATTTAATTTACTGAAAAATCTCATGGATTTAAAGAACTCTCACAGGCTGTGAATCTTGTGGTAACATATTCTTATTCAACAGACTACAAAACACCTAAATTAATTTTTTTAAAAAAATAGAAACCCTCTTTTCTATTTTTGAGACAATCCCAAATATTAAAAATTTTCCACTTCTTGTTCCCCCCCTAAAAACTCAAGAAATATTAAGAGTATATATATTCAAAAAGAAAAAGAAGTTTTCTCCATTTCTATTATGTTTTCGTATTTTAATTTTTTTTCCCTAGCACTCATCGTCATCATCTGCAAAAGCAGCAAGGAAAGAAGAGTCAAACCATCAACCCCCACTCCCCAGAGCCTTCTCTCTCTCTCTCTCTATCTATACATCGACCTATACAAACAGTCAAAAAAATAGGCTAAATATACATTTTCATATATAGATACAGGCACTTGTATGTACGTGCCCATCGCTCGATATTTCAATCCTAATTCAGTAAATCTCCCAATCGCCTTCTGATTTCCATTGAATTTCTACTTATTTTCTCTCTCCTCTCCCATTCTACCAGTTTCTTTCTCTTTCTTTCTTCAATTAGTGAAAACCCTAATCTTGAAAAACCTCCTCTTGAACCCTAGTGATTGGAATTTGTTTCAGCTCGTTTCAACTTTACAATCGAAACAACCATTCGGCTTGAGATATTCGGTAGTTTCTATTTTTTTCTTAATGTACTTTCTGAGGTAATCTAAGAAATTTAGGTTAAGTTGTTCTTACGTTTTCTGCTTTTCCGTCTGTTCCTTTCAGTTTATGCAGTTGTGTATAATTGGATTCAGTGGGATTTGGAAATTTGCAAAATTGAATGTGGTTGATTTGATTTGGGGGGGGGGGGGGTTTAGATTGGTTCTTACACATTTCAGCTGTGGTTGCCCGGAATTCTTTTTTTTGGGTCTTTTTTCTTTTCTTGAATTTTCTTGGATCAGAATGCTTTTGAGTAGTATATGTGGTAGTGTAGCTGTTTAGCCGTAGATGGGATTTAGTTTTGGAACTTTGTGCCAACTAAACAGATGGAGAGTCTTTATAGAAAAATGTGTGTTTTGCTTTGCCAGTGGAAGCGATTGGACCTGCATTGGAGTTTTCGATACGTTGTCTTCGACTGTGAAGAAGGGTGAATTTGTTTTTCTAGCTAGTTTTGGGTGCGTTTAAGAGTTTATTATAGGGTGGAAAGCTGGACTATGGCACTCACTCATCCGATGAATCTGTGTGATTTTTAAGTAGAGGACTTTTGTATGCCCTAGTTAGCTTGAACTCCACGTGGTCTTCTCTTTAAAAGTGAAAGGAAGCCTTGATTTTTATGCTAAAGGAAGGTCAGGTTCGTGAGTTGTTCTACTTCCTCGTGGGTGGGGTCGAGGGTGGGGCTGTTCTTTTTTGTTTTAGATGGTTATGAAATGTTGTGGGCTCACTTCTTGCAAAGGTCTTGTTGGATTCATTACGTGATTAAAACTTGAACGTTTTGTGATGGTACAATGCAATTTTATAGTGGCTCAGTTGCTAGGATCAATAAATGACTCTGAGACACAATAGTAGTAATGTCATTTAAATGTTAAAGCGCTCAACTTCTGAGTGTGGGTAAAGAATCAATTCGTACATTTCTTTGGGTGTCATATGTCAATGACACCCAAAGATTAATTGGAGTAGCTTCATTGTGTGATTGACCTATCATTCTCAGTGTCCAAAGTTATTCTGTCACTTGTGCGAGGTTCTCTAGGGTTTCAAATCCGGCTTTTAATCTTGAACACTGTTGTATTTATCCTCCTATATTGTGTTCAAGCTTTACCATACTTTTTGCAACGAAGAATAGTGGCTTTAAGGTTCTGGAGAAATTTGCATTAGTTTTAAATTGTCGCGTAGTTACAAATTGTTGTCATGTCCGTCTAAGCAATTAATGACAATTTCTAATTGTTTAGCCTCTAATTTTCTCTTAATCAGTTATTTGCAATTCCTTTTTTCCTTTCTTTGATGACCTCTTACCATGGGAAATCAAATTCTTCAGTCTTAGAAAAATCAATTCTGTATTGCACTATTTAATGTCTAAAGTGCTAATACTTATCGCAACCGACAAATTTGACCCTATGTTGTTTAAATTGTTGAGATGGAACTTCTGTTGAATTGTCTTTTCGGTCTGGCTGTTCTTCTGACTTCTGTGCCCTAAAATACATTTTGTGTCATTTATAACTGCTCTTTAATGCTAAATTCTATGGCTAATATAATTATGATTGTTTATAATTTTTTTTTATCCTTCATGCTCTTTATTGCAGTTTGACCAGCATAAACCCTGCTGAGGTTCAATGCTGAAGGCAGCATGCAGATGATAGCTGGGAGACATGCAAAGGTATCATGCTGCCAGCTGCACTAGTGCAGTCAATAACACTGCCATTGGAGGATCTGCTAGGGATGTTTCCCGAGCTGAGTCATCTTCCATTCCGTCAAACTTTTCTTTGAATTCTAGGTACAAGAATCTTATGTCTTGTTTGGATTGCCATTTTTTCCTGAAAGATTTTTACATTTTTTGTGAACACAGTTTTCAATCACCTTTTTACCTCACATGCATCAAATCGGTACGATATATTTTTTTAACAAAAATTCCAACAAATAGCAATCCAAACGGGCTCTTAATTTTTTGCTCAAGCATGTTAAATGCAATTCATGCTTGTTTATACTTGCTTCATTGCAAATGCTTGATACACACAAAGCATATAGAAGCTTAACCAATGATAATTTTTCTTTTCTTTTAAAACTTTTGGGATCATTACATATTATATTATCATGTAGTTATGTCCAACATGCAGTAGTGCATGCTACTATGTCGAAATGTTCTGATATCCAGTTTATCATTTCATTCTCAGTAAAGAATTTGTTGCTGTTTGATCAATAATGGTTTTCTATCATCTTCTGGTTAGGATGATTTTGAGCTTTAGTGATTTTTAGATGGAAACAATGAGAAGCTGGAACTGGAAAGATATTTACGACCAAAGATTTCTGAATCAATAGTTCATGTTAACTTGGATGGTTAAGAAATGCTATAATTTATCCTATTTGAGGCATGACTTTGGGTATTCAATTCACTAGTTCAGATCTGATCAAAATGTACTTTTGGAGGATTAATTAAAGTGAAAACGATTATGAGTATCCAGCTGTTGCAGTGGTTATTCATGTTAAATCTGCAATTGGAATTTTAATGTAGTCATATTTTATGGGATTTCCTTTGGGGTATGTCTGGGTTTAAGAAAAAAGAAAGGAGAGGACAAAATTCCACTCACTGGAAAGAAAGCAATGGAAAAGAGAAGATTGTAATACTCACTCGTTGTGTTTTGACTTAGAATGGAAATGAAAGTCTAATGTTCTGTTTCAAGAGGGATGAGAAACAAAAGGAAAGGGTTTCGCTTAGAAAAATGTATCTTGTAAGGGTGCTTGAAATTTCTTTATTTAATTGTATGGTGATTAAAGCAAAGGAGAGGTAGAAGCAGTCACATAAGTGAAAACTAATTATATCACATACACCTGGTTTAAGGATATTTACTGTACTTAGCCTTTTTTTAAAATGGGGTAATTAAAAAAATTTTAGGCTTGGTTTAAAATTAAAATTGCACCGATTTGAATAGATTGCTACTATGATTTGTAAAGAACTGATGAATCAACGTTGTTATCTCGGAGTCCTGATGAATCAACATTGTTGTCTGCTGGTAACGTGATGATAAGAAGTTTCAGTTTGTAGTGCTTTGGAACTCATTATTGCTTGTGATTGAGCTGTTCAAATATCTTAATCATGTTACTGTTATCGTGGTGATGTTTTCTTTCTTTTTGATTCCTTTAAAAGAAGTGTATAAAATTTTGATGATGGTTGCGGGTATGGCAAGTAGCCTCTAGTTGGAATTATTTTGGTCCACGACTATTTCTTTAAAAATCTTGCTCCCTTGCTCTTTTGTCTTCTTAACTCGAGGCATCTTGTCCTATGGTTCTTTCATATCTGCAGAAATTGGCTTCATAGTCATAGCATATTAATAATTCTCTATATAAGTTAGCAGCTCGCTTTCTTGTATGGGAAATGCCTTTAGTTGGATGTTAGTGTGCAAAATCCTGTATAATTTCCAGATTAGTCTTGCTGACTTACTCTTCTGTAGTCATTGACTTGGGGTAATGTGTCTGATTAACTTTTTTCAAGTGGTTGCATTTGGCACATATCTAGAGAACCCATCTCTCTCAATGTTAAAACAGATTTCAAGATAATATATTTTATTCTCTAATTGTTTAGCTTCATTCTGCTATTTCAATTATACTGTAACTGAATTAGGGTTTTTAGTTTCCCCTATTTATTTTGCTCCTAAGAGATAAATGGGTTAGTTTTTCCAATTAAAATACTGCTGACATGCTTAATGATTTTAATATTGCTCCTTCAGGCGACCGTTACCTTTAACTCCATATAAACTGAGGTGTGATAAAGAACCATTGAATTCCAGGTAATTTCTGTTGAAATTATGATTGCCCACTGTAGATCTTTTGTCCTTTCATCTGAGATTGTTTCTATATGTACCATCATCATCAATGACAACCAGTGTTAATTTATTAATTGGGTACCATTTGACAGACTCGGGCTGCCTGACTTTCACCTCCAGACTCCTACTTGTCCTGAGGAGACGTTGACCAGGGACTATGTGCAGTCTGGTTATAGGGAGACGGTTGAAGGGATTGAGGTAACTTTTTGGGTGTCTTCTATTTAGAATTTTATGGTTGTATGGATATGATTATTGCAATCTTTATTTTTTCTTTTATTGGAGTTGGTACCTCAGTAGGGATATGTCTTCACTAATGTTTCCAGGAAAATAGAGAGACTTCATTATCACAAATTCAGACTTTTACAAAGCCAGTCATCCTCAAGTGCAAGGAGGTAATTGTTCTGTGTTTAATGGTGTCACCGGTCTCCCCTTTTATTTTCAACGAGCTACACATTTGTAGGCTTGGTATTCATTAGACTTGGAAGTAATGCTTGCCTGATACCGTCTCTCTTTGTTTCTGTGCTCTTTTGCAGTCAATAAGAAAATGTCACAGGGCTATTAATGAGTCCCGTGCACAAAAACGAAAGGTGATGCTGTTTTTCCTCCTGACTTTTTGATGGATGAGCTGATTATATTGATCTTGGCTAAAATAAAAACCTGTCCTGCATGTCTCCTGAAATGTGGGAAAATTGTCCATCTCTATCTTTTTTGAATTAATGTTTACTTGTTGGTGGTTTAGCCTGTCTACTTATTACTTATCAGGACGATTATGGAAATTGTTGTGATTGTTGTAATAAAGTATTTTGAAAGCATAAAATGGATAAATGCTCCTATTTTTGCAGGCGGGCCAAGTTTATGGTGTGCCTCTTTCAGGTTCACTTTTAAGTAAACCTGGCCCCTTTCCTGAGCAAAAACCATGTGGTGAAGAGTTTCGAAAGAAATGGATTGAGGTTAGTCTCCACTAAGTATTTTTCTGCATCTGGGTTTGTGTGTTCATGGATATGGCTTTCTTGCATATGCTAGTGCGAGAATGTGTTTATTTCCTTTTAGTACTGAAGTCTACAGGATGAGCTGGGTGTTGGATTGGTGTTATCATGTTCTAGACATTCGTAGTTTTACATTGTGGTTTATGACAGTTAGTAGGAGTTTATTCTTAAGAATAAGTAACAGAAAATATTGTTGAAGATGACTATTGTGCATATGGCTCCTGTAGAACTAATAAAAGTGTAATTCTAGTTGACGTTGATATATTTCAATCATTTGAGTCTGAATTGTCATAGATTATGAACAAACATTTATGCCCTATGCATGTTAAAGTGTGCTAGTTAGCTGGAATTAAATTTGACGTGCAGTGTCCTAGTTAGCTGGAATTAATATTGCTTATACTCTAACAATTTATTCTGTCAGTCATTACCTATGCATGTTAGTTGTTTATATGGATGTAAACAGGGCCGACACTTGTGTTTTTATTCTATGCAAACCTGAAACATGTTGGAAGTTCTTCTATTTATGCCTGTCACTCAGATCCTATAGGGTATATGGTCGTACCACAAAATCAGTGTTGCTCATTGGCTTGCTATTTTAGGGGATTGAATAACCTGAATTTTTGTATATTGAATGAAAAGAATATTGGGTGCAAACCCTCCAAGTTTAAAGTTTTAATTCATGATGGCTATCCCATTGTTATAAGCAGAACCACTGGGAATTTATTGAAAATGAGCTTAATAAATCAATCAAGGACTGAAGGAGGCACAGACAATTTTAAAACTTTTGAAAAGAGCTTAGCTACTAACATTTTGGTTGAATGTTAGTTCCTTATGTGGATGATACCACAGTGACAAAAGATTCATTCCCATTGTTGTCTTTAATTATCCTCCTGTGTCTGTTGTAAAAGTAGATGGTGGACATGTTGTTTATAAACTATAAAACACACACAGATGCACACTAAAAAAAGGTAGTGTTACATGAGTAAAATATGATATACATTTGGAAAATATATGATTGTAGTATTTTTTACATTGAAAAATTGGATATGCATTTGCAAGGGCAACATTGAAACTGACTGTAAAGGATATGTAGAGTCTTGTGTCCAAAAGCCATGTTTAGGCCTTTCTAGTGTACTTAGGTCCATATTTGAACGGTCCTGGAGACCTGCTTTGATACATCTGTTGCCACTGTTAAATGCTTCCTCCATATTTCATTCCCTATGGAGAAGATGAAATGCATAATGAAGCTTTGGGGTGACCTGTAGGGTTATACAGAAGGGGAAGGGATTTACTTGACTAGTAAACAAAATACGCTATTCATTGGCATGTTTTTGAGGTTAAAACTCTAACTTGAGCAACTGTATATCCTATGCAGATGCATGAGTTTCTTGTGTTAAAGCTCTTTTCTTTTGTAACCCTAGTGTCTGCTAGCTCATTATTTGAACATTTTCCCAGGGATTATCTCAACCGCATAAAAGATTGTGTTCTTTGGCTGATCATGTTCCTCATGGTTACCGGAGGAAATCTCTTCTTGAAGTTCTCATTAGGAATAATGTTCCACTACTCAGAGCTACTTGGTTTGTGAAAGTGACTTATCTTAATCAGGTATTGAGTATCCCTCCATGCAATATTGTTATGGAATTATTATTTTTTTATTATATACTGTTGAACTTAGCAGATTATGGTTTAACCTTGCAGGTACGGCCTGGCTCTTCCAATTTGTCTGGTGGTGTGCCTGACAAAACGCAGTTTTCCCGATCAGAGCAGTGGACAAAAGATATCATAGATTACCTCCAGGCGCTCTTGGATGAGTTTGTTTCGAAAAATAATTTTCATTCCACTCTGCATATTAGGGATCGATCACCACAAATGGTTTATCCTGGGACCCTACAACATCGAAATGATGCTGCTTCTACTTCTACTGATGCTGATGAGCCTTCTTTGCATTTTAAGTGGTGGTATGTGGTTAGGCTCTTACAATGGCACCATGCAGAAGGACTGATTGTTCCATCTCTCATTATTGATTGGGTTTTTAATCAACTGCAGGTATTCTACATATGATTTTGAATATTTTGTACTTTGATTAAATTCATCAACTGGTAATACTTTTGTTGGTAATTTCATTTTTTTGCCTTCCCAGGAAAAAGAGCGTCTTGGGATTTTGCAGTTGTTACTGCCTGTAATATATGGTGTAATCGAAGCCGTCGTATTATGTCAGACCTACGTGCGAACTCTGGTTGGCATAGCTATGCGTTTTATTCAAGAACCTTCTCCTGGTGGGTCTGATCTTGTAGATAATTCCCGAAGGGCTTATACCATGTCTGCTCTTGTTGAGATGCTTCATTATTTGATAATTGCTGTTCCTGATACTTTTGTTGCTTTGGATTGCTTTCCCTTACCATTGTGTTTGGTAACTAATGTGGTCAATGATGGGAGTTTTTTGTTGAAGATAGCTGAAGATGAAAGCAACATGAAAACTGGTCCCCTTGAAGTAGCCTGCTTGCAGAGAGACAAGGGTGTTGAGGTTCACCCTGACTCTTTGACCATAAACTGTATTGTTTCATCTATTCAGAAACGTGCAGAAAACCTTGCAAAGGCTGCCAGACCGGGACATCCAAGTCAAAATGTAGCTAAAGCTTTACTGGCATTAGATAAATCTCTTATTCACGGAGATGTGTCAGTGGCATATAAACTTCTTTTTGAAAATCTTTGTGATGGAGCTGTTGATGAACGTTGGATTGCTGAAGTGAGTTTGTGTCTACGGTCATCGCTCAAGTATATTGGAGCAGTGACCTTGTCATTTATTTCCTCTATCTTTTTCATTTGTGAGTGGGCAACTTGTGATTTTAGGGATTTTCGCACTGGCCCACCATCAGGCCAGAAGTTCACTGGGAAAAAAGACCTCTCTCAGATATATATTGCTATACGGATTTTGCAGCTCAAGAGGAGAGAGATGCAAAGCTTGTCTCAGGGCAAGAACGAGAGTAGCCTTGCTCCTGATACTCTAGCCAAAGATCCTGATTTGCAGAATAATTATCCAGGCAGGTTTCCTGTTGGCAATGCTTGTGAACAAAATAAATACAGTTTAAAGAGTGGGAAAACTAGAAATTTGTCAAATATTTTTGAAAGCCCGAGCCCTTTACATGACATTATTGTCTGCTGGATTGATCAACATGAAGTACACAGTGGAGAAGGCGTCAAGCGGCTTCAACTACTCATAATGGAACTTGTGAGGGCTGGTATCTTCTATCCCCAGGCATATGTGAGGCAATTAATTGTTAGTGGAATCATGGATGGGAATGGGATTTCAGTTGACCTGGAGAGACGGAAGAGACATCATAGAATTTTGAAGCAGCTTCCTAGTTCCTATGTACATGATGCTCTCGAAGAAGCACAGGTTCTTGAAGGAGCAATGCTTTTGGAGGTGATTAATACATATGCAAATGAGCGTCGCTTGGTACTTCGTGGCCTGCTTGATTGCCATAAGAGTTCTGGCAGCTCTTGGCAGAAACAAAAGCATTATTATAACTCAGGAGGTGGCAGTGCATCTCCTTCTTCTGTTGATCAGTGGAGATCTCTTCAGGGGATATCCAGTTTAACTACCAAAAATGTTGATCAAGTTGTTGAGCTTGAAGATCTAAAGGCTTCAATAGTAATGTTGCTGCAGCTTCCTAGTTCATCACTGTCAAGTGACAGTGGACTAGAAAATTTTGTTGGGGGTTTTAAGAGATCTACGGGATCTTCTATTACCAAGATCGATATTGGTGAAGGAACACCTGGATGTGAAGAGTGTAGAAGGGTGAAGAGACAAAAGTTGAGTGAAGATAGGAGCTCATACCCACAGGGATTTTTATCCAATGCATTGGATGATGAAGATATATGGTGGCTGAGGAGGGGCCCGAAGTCTCTCGACAAAATGGATCCACCTCCTAAGCAAGCCAAGCAATCTGGAAGGGGGAGGCAAAAGGGTGTTCGTAAAACACAAAGCCTTGCACAGTTAGCAGCTGCTAGAATTGAAGGTAGCCAAGGGGCTTCCACAAGTCATGTTTGTGATAATAGGGTGAACTGCCCACACCATAGAACTGGTGTTGAAGGTGATGCTCCAAAATCTGGGGATGGGATCAGAATGGCATATGGTAGTGACATTGTTTCAATTGGAAAAGTTCTGAAAAAGATGCGACTTGTGGAGAAGAGAACTGTGATGTTATGGTTGATAAGTGTTGTAAAGCATCTTGTTGAAGAAGCTGAAAAGACTGCAGCAAAAGTTGGTCAATATGGCAGACCATATTCTGCTGTTGATGATGCAAACTCTGTGCGATGGAAGCTTGGTGAAGATGAATTATCTATGATTTTGTATCTGATGGATGTTTCTAATGAATTAGTATCTGCTGCCAGGTTTCTTCTCTGGTTGCTGCCAAAAGCTCTTAGCAGCCCTGCTGCTTCCATCCACGCTGGTCGGAACATCTTAATGCTTCCAAGAAATACGGAGAATGTTGTTTGTGAAGTCGGGGAGGCATTTCTTGTATCATCTATTAGGAGGTGTGCTCTTGGTTTTCTCAAGTCATTTTGTCAGCTTGGCTTTGAATTATTTTGCTGACTGTTGTGATTTTTTGTGTGCATTGCTTGCTATATTGCCTCCTGCATTAGTGTTTTATGTTTGAATATCATTAGATTTCCCTATCCTTACCTTCTAGAAAATGGTTTGCAGTGTTTATACTAGTCAAGTGACCCTGTGTGGTTTTTGTGATTGTGTAAATAACCTAACAGGTTCCTACCTAATTTGTGAAGCCCCTGGTTCTTAACTATCCAGTATCCTTGGGTATACTCACTTCTGATAAAATTATCTTCAATCTATTACTCAAGGATGGTTCAAAGGTTGAAAATCCAACTACAGAGGCACCACTTGAACTTTTCATTTTCCCAAATAAAGTTAAAATTAGACATCGGTCTTTGTTTCTATTAAAATTTATCAAGGTCTCTCAAGTTGTTAGGGCTGTTTCCTAGTAGGCTTTATTGTTAGCTTGATTCTTCTTTATTGACCTATAGTAGTGAAGGTCTTGGACAACGTTGTGACATTGACCACTTTGCACCATCTAATAATTTGACTTTTTCACAAAATTTTCTTTCTGGTCCTAGATAGATAAACTACTTATGAGTTACCATTTCTGAAGGGATTTGGATAATGTGATTAACTAACCTTTTACATTAGCATATTTCAGAATACCCCCAAACAAGATTAAAAGAAAAAAAAGAACCAACAGTAATACCCCCAAAAGACACTTAAAAAAAAAACTAAAAAATGCACAAAAAATAACCCAAAGAGTGACACTTGCACACACTCATCACCCATTATCTGTCTGCCACCAACCCCTGCCACCCACTGCTACCCTTCCCCTTTCTTCCACCCCCACCCCACCCCGGGGGGGGGTATCCCCTTCCTTCAGGCCTGCTTCTTTAATGACCAGATCTGGTCTGGTAGTGGTTGCTGGGGAGGGGAGGTGAGAACGGGGAGGGGCAGGAGGCAGTTTTTGTTTTGTTGGGGTGGGGGAAGGGGGAGGGGAGGGCCAGGGGGAGGACGAGTTTTGCAGGTAGGGAGGAGGGAGGAGGAAGCGGAGAAGGGGGAGGTGGCAGGGTTGTGGAGATGGGATCTGGCGGTGCATAAAACACCTTAAAAAACTCCCTAACAACACCTATTCCAGTATGTTTTTAAGTAACGTTATTAACAGTAAAGGTTTATAGTAACACCCCAAAGAACACCCAATCCAAATGGGCCTCTCGTTTACAGTTTGTTTTGTGAGGTAGGATTGGATGAGAGAAGAAAAGAAAGTGAGAGAAATGGAAACTTTTCATTCACTTGCCAGTTTCTTCAAAGACAGAAAAGAACGGATTTAGCTGGATTGAGACGGATGAATTTTTTTGGTACAGTTTAAAAATTTTTCCACCCATTTATGGGCTGATTTGGATGGAAAGTTGGGGAAAGCCTTGTAAATCTTTTAAAGGATCAGTTCTGTCCTTGGATGACTACTAAACAAAATTTTAATGACATGTGTATCCAAAATCATTCCATTTCTTTCTTAAATCCCCAAACAACATTATGATCTCTTCTCTTCTTTTCTTTTCTCTGATACATTAGGTCCCCCCCAAACTCCTTTTTTATATCATAAACTCTCAAACTAGCCATTCAAGTATTTTCAAACAGAATTTGGGTTATGAAGGTTTTGTTACTGTAGATTGTTAGTTGATATTGATTTTGAATTGCATTTCTTTGACGAGTTGTTGTCTATGCTTTGTGCTTTTCTGCTTCTCCTTCTGGACTACTGCAGCTTCTACTTATGTACAAACAACTATCCATGCATTTTCCAACACGCCTCTCTTTTGAATCATGTTTTGGCAGGATCTCTCTATTTGTGACAAAATTTGAAAAACTTTTGTTTTCATATTGAACATATATATTAGATTCCCTGAGACAGTTTGTGTTATTGGGCCCTACATTTTTCCATTTTCATCTTGATTTTTGGATTTAGTGGTTTAGAAAGCATATGAAAACTTTGAAGTTGATTTTAGGGAATGAGAAAGTTGTTGGAGATTGTGATGTCTAAGTTTGCTCTTGCGAAAAGTTTTAACTGTGGCTTCATTTGGTGTTAAAATATATCAGGACATCTTCATGTGATAAATAATTCTTAAGACCTGGGTAGTAGTATTTTTTCTTAAAACTTTGGTGATTTTTATTCTTTTTATTTTGTGGAAGCATTTGACATTTGAAGCCATTGAATATAAGCTCAAGCATTGTACTCCCTGTTGCATTGTCTGCTTCCAATACCAAATTTCATAGTTCTGATTTATAGATAATAAAGTCCATCCTTTCTCAAAACTATGATAAAACTTGAGTTTCTGGTTGGTATACATCTTTCAATGAAGATATATAATGCGTGAGGGTGATGAAGTGAACTATTTATACTGTTCTGTTTTAGGTATGAAAATATAATCGTAGCCGCAGATCTTGTTCCTGAAACCTTGAAAGCTGCAATGCATCGAGTTGCAGCCACAATGGCCTCTACCGGAAGGGTTTCAGGTTCTTCAGCTTTGGTTTATGCAAGAAATTTGGTGAAGAAGTACGGAAACGTGGCTAGTGTTGTTGATTGGGAGAAAAACCTTAAATCATCTTATGATAAAAGACTCATTTCTGAGCTTGAATCTGGAAGATTGCCTGATGCGGAGTTTGGCTTCCCACTTGGAGTTCCTGCAGGAGTTGAAGATCTTGATGATTTTTTCCGTCACAAGATAAGTGGTGTACGGGTGTCCAGAGTTGCTTTGACAATGAGAGATATAGTACAAAGGCAAGTTGTTGAAGTTTTTCAATACTTTTGTGGCAAAGAAAGAAAGCTTTTTGGGCCTGGTACAGTAAAAAGCCCTGTCTTGGAAAACTTGGATGATGGTTATCAAATAGCTCAACAAATAGTAATGGGATTAATGGAGTGCATGAGGCAAACTGGTGGTGCTGCTCAGGAAGGTGATCCTACTTTGGTATCCTCTGCTATTTCTGCAATTGTCAGTAATGTTGGACTGGTTATTGCTAAAATTCCTGACTTAACTGCTGGCAATCACCTAAATTTCCAGTCCACATCCAGTTCAATGCATTTTGCTCGACGCATTTTACGCATCCATACAACTTGCTTGTGCCTGCTGAAGGATGCACTTGGTGAGCGTCAGAGTCGTGTCTTTGAGGTTGCTCTTGCAGTTGAAGCTTCTACTGCCCTTGCTCAAGTGTTTGTGCCAGGAAAGGCTCCTCGCACTCAATTTCATCCATCTCCTGAATCCCATGATTCTAGTTCAAACTCCTATGAAGCCTTGAATAGTTCTGTTAAAAGTGTACTTGGACGAGGGGCAAAAATTGCTGGAGCAATTTCTGCACTTCTTGTTGGGGCACTTCTTCAGGGAGTTACTAGCCTTGAGAGAATGGTTACTCTCTTCAGATTAAGGGAAGGGCTTGATCCAATTCACTTTTTCAGGAGTTTGAAATCCAACTCAAACGGGAGTGCTCGTTCCATTGGGGCTCTGAAGCTGGATAATTTGGTTGAAGTTTCCACCCACTGGTTTCGAGTGCTTGTAGGTAATTGCAGAACTGTTTCTGATGGATTTATTGTGGAGCTCTTGGGTGAAGCGTCAGTTGTAGGTCTCTCTAGAATGCAGAGAACACTTCCTCTGAACTTGGTCTTTCCGCCTGCCTATTCTATATTTGCATTTGTCATATGGAAAGGATTAATTTTTAATACTGGTGTTGGCTTGCGTGATGACCTCCAACAATTGTATCAGTCCTTAGCATTGGCGATAGGTGATGCATTAAAGCACCTTCCGTTCCGTGATGTGTGTCTGCGAGACACTCATGGCCTTTATGATCTCATAGCTGCAGATGCCATTGATTCTGAGTTTGCAGCCTTACTGGAATCACATAGTGCAGACGTTCTTTACAAATCCATGGCCTTTGTTCCTCTCAGGGCACGGCTTTTCTTAAATGCCCTTATTGACTGTAGAATGCCACAGTCATTGCTTAAACCAGAGGACGTTAATAGGATGCAAGGGCAAGGTGGCCTAAAGAACTATTATCAGGAGAAGGATGCAAATTTCAGAGATAAGCTTGTGCATGTTTTGGATACATTACAACCTGCAAAATTTCACTGGCAGTGGGTTGAGCTTAGGCTTCTTTTGAATGAACAAACAGTCATTGATAAACTGAAAAATGAAGCCCCTTTGGCGGAGGCTATTAAATCAGTTTCACCGAATGCTGACAAGGTTGCAGTTTCTGAGAAAGAGAGCAGCTTTGTTGAACTCGTTGTAATGAGGTTACTTGCCAGACCAGATGCTGCTTCACTCTTTTCTGAGGTTGTGCACCTTTTTGGAAGGTCACTTGAGGACCAAATGCTAATGCAAACTAAATGGCTTCTTGGAGGCACTGATGTTCTTTATGGAAGGAAATCAATTCGGCAACGGCTTATCATTAATGCTGAAAAAGAACATCTATCAACTAAACTGCAGTTCTGGAAGCCATGGGGGTGGTGTGATTCAAACTCTGATTCGCGGAAAACAAGGGGAAGCAAGAGGAAGTTTGAAGTCGCCTCTCTTGAAGAAGGTGAGGTGGTTGATGAAGGTTCAGATGTGAGATTTCCTGGAAGAGGATCCACTCAAGTTGTGGATGTTGAAGGTTTCTTGGTGAGTCAGCAGCATGTGACAGAGAGAGCATTTATTGAATTAGTTCTGCCTTGTGTGGATCAAGGCTCTGATGCCTCAAGAAACACCTTTGCAAATGACATGATCAAACAGATGAATAACATTGAGCAGCAGATAAATGTACTTTCTCATGGAGCAGCTAAATCTGTTGGATCAGTTGCATCTGGAGCAGAAAGCCCAGCAAGCAAGGGCAATAGCCGAAAAGGTATGAGAGGTGGGAGTCCTGGATTATCCAATTCCAGACGACCTGCGGGACCAGCTGATGGAGTACCATCTTCCCCAGCGGGGTTGCGAGCTTCCATGTCATTGCGCTTGCAGTTTCTCCTAAGACTACTTCCTACTATGTGCACGGATGGGTAATTCTGTAAACTGATTACACAATTTGTTCATGAGGGCATATTACCCCTTCTTGGAGACCATTCTCAATATAAAAGTCCTGAATTGCTTTTGCATGCTCCAGCTGAATTTTGTTTAAGACGGAATCTTTCCATGCATGTTCTCCTACCCAGATTTTACTAATATGAAGCAAATGCCAGGGCGTTATTTATTTGAAACTTTAAGGTTAAAAATAGTTTTGATTGATGATGAAGTTAATATGTCACATGGATAAAGGACAGTTTATGGAAGGGAAATTTCAATTACTGGTCAATGGTAGAAGGTATTGTGCAAGTTTTCTAACTCTAGGAAGGATTTTTTCTGCCAATAACTTGTGCATGTACTATGTCCCCCATTCTTTAATGTTGAGTGCGTTGATTTACCATATATCTTGGTTATGCTGAATGCATCCATGTCTGTGATGAAACTAATCATCTCTAGCTATATTGCTTATTGTTAATATAAGCTTCATTTTGGACTTGTCAGGGAGCCAGGAAAGAGTATGAGACAGATGCTTGCTGCGGTTATATTACGCCTTCTAGGATGTAGAGTTGTCCATGAAGCTGCAGGCCATACCACAAGTTCAACTTTGAATTTATCCAAGAGAGATGTCGAGTCGCTTACAGAGGCTTCTGCTACATCTGTACTTTTATCTGGGGAAAGTCTTTTCGATTGTTTGTTATTGCTGCTACATGGACTGCTGAGCAGCTATCGACCTAGCTGGCTGAAGTTGAAATCTAACTCCAAGTCCGCCTCCGAGTGCGGCAAGGACTTTAGTGTTTTTGGTCGTGAGGTGGCGGAGAATCTGCAGGTTTGGTTGACTGCATACAATCTGAAATTCATTTACTGGACGCAGCTTATTATTTGATTTTCTTTTGTATTTACCTTTTATTGCAAAAGTATTAGTCCCAAAAACACATATATTAGATAAACACAGAAAACCAGAAGATTTATCTGATGGAGTACTTGTACAAGATAAGCAATCCATTATCAGATTTGCGTTTTGCTTCATGTTCAAAATGTTATAACATGATCTGAGGGGAATGCATGTCAAAGGACCTCCTTTTCAAATTGCTTTGGCATAATATATGAGTTGTGATTAGCTTTTTATTGAGGAGTTCTTTAGTTCATTCAGTACTATTCCATTTTTATAAGCTGCATCATCGATGCACGCTGTTTATGAGGACTACATTTACACCACAAATGCTTATGCTTTTCTTCCAAAAAATGGAAAGTTCTCAGTCCTTGCGATTAATGTATTGAAGTTTCAAATTTTTTGGTTTGAACATCATATTCTCGTGGACTTCTGCTCCATGGTTGACACGTCAATTTCTTTTATTTTTGAAGGCTAAATTGACTCTAGGGTATGGACTTTGAAAAATGTGATAGTAAGTGGAGAATTATCAAGGATACTTGTATTTTTGCTTTCTGACAATTTTAATCAATGCAGAATGATCTGAACCGCATGCATATGCCGGACCATATCCGGTGGCGAATTCAAACTGCAATGCCAATTCTTCTTCCATCTGTTCGGTGCTCAATCTCTTGTCAACCTCCATCTATATCACCGGCTTCGATTGCTGCTCTCCAGTCCAGCAATCAGATATCAGTTTTACAGCCTCACAATTCAATCCTATCCCAGAGAAATCCAGTTTCTTTGGTTCGAACTGTCGCTAATATGGCAGGGAAGGCTAAGCAACTGCCACTGCAAGATCTGGACTTGGAAATTGACCCTTGGACCCTATTGGAGGATGGAACGGGTGTGCAATCTTCGAGCAACTCTGCTGCTATTGGTGGTAGTGACCATGCTAATTTGAGAGCATCAAACTGGCTCAAGGGGGCCATTAGGGTGAGGAGGACTGACCTCGCCTACATTGGTGCAATAGATGAGGACAGCTGATATGAGTAGTACTTCAATTTTGAATTTACATACAAAGGGAGCACCCAGCAGGAAAGCGTCCTCGCTCATCCGTGACGGGAAAGTGGCCATCGGGGTCGCTCTAATTGCCTTTGGCAGCAAAGGCATCTGCTTAAAGGCACATTCTTTTTGGGTGCACGGGGTTCTGACTGGGTCACGTGGAGTCATGGACGACATTCTTTGGCGGCCTGTCCATTTTACCTCGCAGCCCTGATTGACAACTAACCCTTTGATCACCCCCTTCTGGACAGCACAATTCTTGGCGCAGTTCAGAAGTTGTTGTACATATAGGGATAACTATTTCCCCCTTTTGGGATGAGTAGAATGTCTCAGAAATGATTTTCTGCTCTTTCATGCTCAGCGCTTGTTGTTACATCTTGCAAATTGAGTAAAGTATCTTAAGAATGTTGTAGCTTATCTATTCTCTCTCTCATGCTTTGCCTGTCATTTTTCGTAAAAATGCTACTTGTTTCTGATTTTGCAGATTTTGCATGAAGCCTGGCCAAGTAACAAAAGTTTCGGGTTTACTTTCCGATTTCCTAGTTTTTACATGCGAACAGGTATTAGCGCATATTTGTAACAAAGACTTCTTTAGTTTAGGATTTGTAACAGCCTGGCATCACAAACTAGACGTATTGATACACAATTGTCTTAACAATTTTGGCTAGTTTTTCTTAAGGTCTATTCTCCGACCGGCTGCTCAAGCCAGGTCAAATGTGCTGGTTCCTCTCTATTGCTGTTTACTTGCGTTTATGTCCTGTTTACTTTGGAGCAGAAGGGACTCTGATTGGTGGAACGACTTGATTCGCCATCATCTGTATTACTTTTTAAAGTCGTGGTTTTAGGCTTCTCCATCCTAAATGAATAATTGAGCGGTACATCTTTGACCAGCTCTCCAGCTCTTAACTTTTTCTCTTGGATTATAATTTTTTTTTGGTTCAAGAGAGACTCTGATCTTACAAAGAGGAGAAAAGGGGGGATTCGAAATTTTCAGTATGTTCTTCTGTCCAAACAGGCTAATACAAACATATTTTTGAAAATTTCCATTCGTACATGGCGGATCAAAGTCTAGTTGTTTTGGGATCTCTTGTTTTCTTTACTTTTGTCTTTTCTCCTTTGATTCTTCGATACCCTTAAACAGGCCTCAACATTATGGTTGCTTTACTTTTGGTCTTCTCTTTATGCATTTGGTTGTGCTACTCTGTCTTGTTGCAAGATCTGCTGTATGCGGATATGTACCCTTAAGTAGCATGGATTTGCTATGATTTGGCAATTTCACGCTTCAGTTGTAAAGTTGTCTCAGCTCTTACAATGTAATTAGTTACATAGATAAGCCTTAGATTTGAGAAATCCATGCAACAACGTACAGATTATAAAAGGGCTTATGTATTCCCCAAGGCGTCGCAACACCCCAGCTGTTGAAAAACTTAATATTAGAGCAAACAAATGCTTCTGTGCGAGTCATCCTTGTGCAGGGGCCACGCTAATCTTCTCTATATCGTTCCAATTTTATTGGATGACCCCAAAGGGACAAAAACAAATGCATCTGATTTGAGTTAAAGAGGTAGTAAACAACTGAGAAGCTCAATAGAGGAAGGGATGGGTTGGGTGGTACGGGGGAGGGAATATAGGTAATAGATCTTGAGTTTGAGATCTCCAATTTACGTTAAGAACCTAACTGGTATCTTACGCTCGTGCTTGAAGCTTTCATATCTGAGTGATACTCAGTTATTATTTGTCCACATTTGTCATTAATAACTTCCAATTAACTGCCTAGAGCATTATCGGACTTGTACAGCAATGGCCTATGGTATAAACTGTGGTACTTTGAACTCTGCCAGACTTCCGCTATTGTGCTTGTCATGGCTTGTCCAAACTTCACCAAGCACAAAAAGGCATAAAATTCTTCAAAAATAACACCAGAGACTTTCATATTTTTAATGAAATGCATAGATGTGTATGGTCTCGGTCATTATATTTATGAAGAGTGTGACTACTTGTTTTGTTCGAATTCCAAAGAAAGACGCAAAAGTCTGTCAAGATGCTTATAATCTAATCTTAGTATAAGCTTCTATGTGAACAATGCCTGCAAAAATAATGTATGCAGCAGTGGAGCAAAATGCAGTGACGGGTTGTCACCACCAAGAGCAAATATCCATCCTTTGCTACCATCCAAAGCCCCTTTTGGGCACCTCAAACGAACGCATCATGTATTTCTTACACACGCTTGTCCTGTGCCTTGTTGGCCAGTTATTATTTTCTAAAGTGCCTAATTGTCTGATGCACGTATCAGAGGAGAAATGTCTCAGTATCTTTTGTCTAGGACTGGTCAGTTTGTGCTGGATTTGGTAATATACATAGACATTGCCGTTGGCCTTTAGTATGTACTGATTTTCACTTAAGGAAATTAAGAGAGAATTGTTTCGTCCTCCCGGCAGTCCAGCACTGTACTCCGGAGACTTGAGGTATGTTTTTGTTCTGGTAATACAGGTTTAGGCTAAGACAGGACTTCAAATGATACTTAATTGAGAGGCAAATACTCTCCACCCTTTATTTTTCTTATAGGGCCAGTTGTGAGGGCTGTAGATTGCTGTCAGTAACATAGTTGATCCACTGTTTTACTGTGGATTATGGAACAAAATCATCTTTTCTTCTGGGTAAAGAGGACAAGGGAAGAAGCAGCTCAACTGCTCAATCTGCTTGGTTGGAGGGTGATACTTAAGAGCAACTTGAATGCTTTTGCTGTAAATTTTTCTCCTCGAATGTCGAATCAAAGAGAGGAACTGCCTTATGGCCTTCACAGAAATAAGCATTGTTCCAATTGGTCCAAGTATCTTAAAAATGGCAATGAACATTTTCATTGTCTTATCCAAATGGTTTTTGCTTCTTTCTGCCATCCTCATTTTAGAGGATATCTAATTAGCTAGCGAGTTCCATTCCCTAAAGTCGTAGCAGTATAATCACAAAATGAAAGTAAATTCTGAAGAGCACAAATCATAGACTGCTGGGATTGGTAATAAATCTTGGGTCATAAATCAGAATCGAGACTGCATTTAAGAGTGATTGACATCTTAGCATTACTAGCTAGTTATTGATGTAATGAACTGATTTTCTCCTATTGTAGCTGTCAGTCAAAAAGATCCTTTCTTGCTGTTTGCAAATGTGCAGCTTGACAGAAACTGAGTTCGGCTTTTGATAACACCCCGTCAATATGATCCTACTGATCTTGGTTTCGTGTAGTTTTGTCCACAAATAGGACATCCTCAATCCAAGCAACGACGTTGAAGGCCAAACCTTCCAATACTCTAGAGTAACTCTCCAGGATAGCTTTCCCTACATCCTGAATGTAAACAAGATCATTATAAAAAACAAGAAACTGGTATAATGTTTTGGGAAGGACAAATGTGGATTTTGGAGATACATACTCTGTTGTGCTGAATCTTGCTTGCGTCCAATGATGTTTGGGAAAGCTCAGGATATCTTTGCTTTAAGCAGAACAACAGACTCTCAGCTCGTTCTGCTAGGATATGATTCTTGTCCGTCCGATCGATATCAGACATGAAGTCTTTAACCAGGTCCCATGATGATTTCGAGTGTGTCATGCTGCATGCTTTACGCCTCCATGTGTACATTGAAGCTTCAATCTTATCTGCGAACTCGAGTGCTTCATGTTCAGAGCCCAGATTAAGGCAGTTCAGAAGCAAGTCAGGTGTAAATTTCTCCCCATTGCACATATAGCGGTACACTGCATCTCCAACAATTGCTCTTCCACTCTGAGTAGGGCATTGATACACAGAAAATACAGTTAGACAGCTGACTTTTATTGTCATATTACCGTTAAAGAATTGCAGTAGCTTCATCTGATTTATAATATGACTACCTTAGGAAGTGATGCCATGTAGGAATCAGGGATCTCCATTTCAGCAAGAATGCTATTATTAAGAGCCTTGGCAGCTTTGTGTATTTGGTTGGCACAATCACGCTTGTGGCGCAGGTGCTTCCTTGACTTCTCAGAGAGGCCACCAGAAGGAACACATGGGACTGGTAGCCACCATTTTTCTTCTTTGCGCTGAGGAGCAGGAATCCTCCTAAATGACCCTGACCGTGACTTTCCTGACATGCTTCCCTGTTCAGCATACCAAAATTCAGTTTCCTCAAAGCTGTCCAATACTTCCTGTCACGCAATATGAATTCAGCTATCAGATTTGACACAAAACAGAAAATTTGGGTCATTTTTCAAAGATCAATGTTGATTATAACAGCAGACAGACAGTAGCAGTCTTTACCAGGAGCAATGCATCAAGTTTTCTCAGTGCAGGAAGGTTGACGCTGATGTCTGACCTCGGTCTACTAGTCATCACCTGAAAGTTGATCATATACCCATCATGTTAATTAATTAAACATGCAAAGAACCATATTGGTTAGCGTAAAAGAGGGGAATCCATAGATGACATTATTGAGGCCAAAGGTCTTGGCCTAATGGTAATGGTAGTGCCAACCTTCAATGCCTATACTAGCCTGGAGGAACAAAGATCATCAGCCCCTGTTCTGCCTAACCTTTGCCCAGTAACCAATACCAAAAATAAATAAATGAAACAAAAAATAAAAACTAAAAGAACAGAGTCGTCACCTCAACAGCAGTCCCATCTTGTAAATCATGTAATGCTGGGACAAATTCTACTATGTGGTCACAGATGGATAAAAAGCAATTCATTTCTCTCTTCCACATCAATTTCTTATCAGGATGTAATGGTTCTAATCGTAGATGTTGACCAAATATAGAAGCTGCACGGTGTAAACAAAATTGAGATACTAGATCAGAAAAATAAAACATGCATCAGAATTGAAGTAATAGAAGTCAATCTGGCCCAACTACAGGAGCGTTTAACATAGCAGTACCATAAAGATTTGTTATGGAATTTGATACTGCCACAGCAGTGCTGACACCTTTCCCACTTCCGGACATGTCTTGGCCTAATAGCAGCTTCGAAAATCTTTCCTTCATCATGTCAAGCTCTACAAGTATTTCGAACGCAGTTAGGAAACTAGGGAAACCAAAAAGAAAAGGGACGGAAAAGAATCAATCTTGCAGAACCCACCTAAATCTTCATTCTCTGTCTCATCATCTGCAGCAGGGTTTTGTTGCTGCATTACTAGTTTTGAAAGCACAGGAGTTTTGGGAGATTTCATTCCTGGCCAACATAAGGGAGAGGGGGTCTCCGAAAAGGTGCTGCTGTTGTCATCTGTAGGTTCAGAGAAGGCTGAGACGTCTGAGTTAGTTCTACAGAAAGAATAGCCACTCTGCAACGAAAAGCTGGTGGCTTCGGTTGACGATGATTGATCATTCTGATCTAAAGAAGATTGTGAAGGTTGATATCCCAGATCACAAGTTTCATCCGAATTGCCCACGCTATCCATTTGATCCCTTGTCTTCCCCCTTTATCTAGACTGCTGCTGCAGATGTCAAGGTTGTAAACTCAATTTCAGGCAAAAGTACTTGAAGAGAGGATGCATTTTTTATGAAACTAAATCTACCGGGAACTGACTTCAAAATGTTAGAATTCTTGAGTTCCAAAACAAAAGCATTTCATATATTGCTTTCCAGAAAAAGAAAAAGCAAAAAAAAAAAAAGAATCTGCTCTGTCTTTTTCTTAGCTGAACTTTGAAATTATTCACTGATCACACTGAACATGCAGCAACTTTCTTGACAAAGTAGCAAGTCATCCAAGGAGACCAAGCATGACTTGGGAGAAACAGAAGCCAACATACTGGTGGTTTAAAAATTCTGAAGATAACGGCTGGAAGAGAAAAAAGCAACGGTAAAACCATTCTTTTATGCTACCTTTAATGGTTTGGCTGATGATTTGAATTTGAAGAATTGATGCTGCTTTGAAAACGATGGCTATAGCTGTTGGCTTTGCTGAGTGAATGCCGTTTTGAAACAGTTCCCTCCCAAGTCCAAAGTCCCAGCCTTTATTTCTTTCCCCCCACCCCACAAACAAAAAAAGAAAAAGAAGAGAAACATCTCATTTACCTCAAGCAAAAAGGCCAATTTCATCAACTTCATTCATGAGAAAATCCAGAGTGATAAGTTACTTCAAAAAGTTACCTACCTCAATAATTTATTAAATTATGTTGTAGTAAGATAGTAACAAAAAAAAAAATCGAGGAAAATTATTCTTGAAAAAAGTAGATATATATATAAAGCAGGAGCAAATGGTTTGTTTGATTTACATATCATTTTTTTGAGTATTCATATTGCCTTCATTTTGCCTTTTTCTGATAACAAATTTAGCAAAGATAATTAAATTTTTGAGGTAATCCCAAATATTAAAAATTTCCCACTTCTTGTTCCCCGCTAAAAACTCAAGAAATATTAAGAGTATATATATATATTCAAAAAGAAAAAGAAGTTTTCTCCATTTCTATTATGTTTTCGTATTTTAATTTTTTTTCCCCCTAGCGCTCATCGTCATCATCTGCAAAAGCAGCAAGGAAAGAAGAGTCAAACCATCAACCCCCACTCCCCAGCCCCCAGAGCCTTCTCTCTCTCTCTCTCTCTCTCTATCTATACATCGACCTATACAAACAGTCAAAAAAATAGGCTAAATATACATTTTCATACATAGATACAGGCACTTGTATGTACATGCCCATCGCTCGATATTTCAATCCTAATTCAGTAAATCTCCCAATCGCCTTCTGATTTCCATTGAATTTCTACTTATTTTCTCTCTCCTCTCCCATTCTACCAGTTTCTTTCTCTTTCTTTCTTCAATTAGTGAAAACCCTAATCTTGAAAAACCTCCTCTTGAACCCTAGTGATTGGAATTTGTTCAGCTCGTTTCAACTTTACAATCGAAACAACCATTCCGCTTGAGATATTCGGTAGTTTCTATTTTTTTCTTAATGTACTTTCTAAGGTAATCTAAGAAATTTAGGTTAAGTTGTTCTTACGTTTTCTGCTCTTCCGTCTGTTCCTTTCAGTTTATGCAGTTGTGTATAATTGGATTCAGTGGGATTTGGAAATTTGCAAGATTGAATGTGGTTGATTTGATGGCGGGGGGGTTTTTAGATTGGTTCTTACACATTTCAGCTGTGGTTGCCCGGAATTCTTTTTTTTGGGTCTTTTTTCTTTTCTTGAATTTTCTTGGATCAGAATGCTTTTCAGTAGTATATGTGGTAGTGTAGCTGTTTAGCCGTAGATGGGATTTAGTTTTGGAACTTTGTGCCAACTAAACAGATGGAGAGTCTTTATAGAAAAATGTGTGTTTTGCTTTGCCAGTGGAAGCGATTGGACCTGCATTGGAGTTTTCGATACGTTGACTGTGAAGAAGGGTGAATTTGTTTTTCTAACTAGTTTTGGGTGCGTTTAAGAGTTTATTATAGGGTGGAAAGCTGGACTATGGCACTCACTCATCTGATGAATCTGTGTGATTTTTAAGTAGAGGACTTTTGTATGCCCTAGTTAGCTGGAACTCCATGTGGTCTTCTCTTTAAAAGTGAAAGGAAGCCTTGATTTTTATGCTAAAGGAAGGTCAGGTTCGTGAGTTTTTCTACTTCCTCGTGGGTGGGGTCGAGGGTGGGGCTGTTCTTTTTTGTTTTAGATGGTTATGAAATGTTGTGGGCTCACTTCTTGCAAAGGTCTTGTTGGATTCATTACGTGATTAAAACTTGAACGTTTTGTGATGGTACAATGCAATTTTATAGTGGCTCAGTTGCTAGGATCAATAAATCACTCTGAGACACAATAGTAGTAATGTCATTAAATGTTAAAGCGCTCAACTTCTGAGTGTGGGTAAAGAATCAATTCGTACATTTCTTTGGGTGTCATGTGTCAATGACGCCCAAAGATTAATTGGAGTAGCTTCATTGCGTGATTGACCTATCATTCTCAGTGTCCAAAGTTATTCTGTCACTTGTGCGAGGTTCTCTAGGGTTTCAAATCCGGCTTTTAATCTTGAACACTGTTGTATTTATCCTCCTATATTGTGTTCAAGCTTTACCATGCTTTTTGCAACGAAGAATAGTGGCTTTAAGGTTCTGGAGAAATTTGCATTAATTTTAAATTGTCGTGTAGTTACAAATTGTTGTCATGTCCGTCTTAGCAATTAATGACAATTTCTTAGCCTCTAATTTTCTCTTAATCAGTTATTTGCAATTCCTTTTTTCCTTTCTTTGATGACCTCTTACCATGGGAAATCAAATTCTTCAGTCTTAGAAAAATCAATTCTGTATTGCACTTTTTAATGTCTAAAGTGCTAATGCTTATCACAACCGACAAGTTTGACCCTATGTTGTTTAAATTGTTGAGATGGAACTTCTGTTGAATCGTCTTTTCGGTCTGGCTGTTCTTCTGACTTCTGTGCCCTAAAATACATTTTGTGTCATTTATAACTGCTCTTTAATGCTAAATTCTATGGCTAATATAATTATGATTGTTTATAATTTTTTTTTATCCTTCATGCTCTTTATTGCAGTTTGACCAGCATAAACCTTGCTGAGGTTCAATGCTGAAGGCAGCATGCAGATGATAGCTGGGAGACATGCAAAGGTATCATGCTGCCAGCTGCACTAGTGCAGTCAATAACACTGCCATTGGAGGATCTGCTAGGGATGTTTCCCGAGCTGAGTCATCTTCCATTCCGTCAAACTTTTCTTTGAATTCTAGGTACAAGAATCTTATGTCTTGTTTGGATTGCCATTTTTTCCTGAAAGATTTTTACATTTTTTGTGAACACAGTTTTCAATCACCTTTTTACCTCACATGCATCAAATAGGTACGATGTATTTTTTTAACAAAAATTCCAACAAATAGCAATCCAAACGGGCTCTTAATTTTTTGCTCAAGCATGTTAAATGCAATTCATGCTTGTTTATACTTGCTTCATTGCAAATGCTTGATACACACAAAGCATATAGAAGCTTAACCAATGATAATTTTTCTTTTCTTTTAAAACTTTTGGGATCATTACATATTATATTATCATGTAGTTATGTCCAACATGCAGTAGTGCATGCTACTATGCCCAAATGTTCTGATATCCAGTTTATCATTTCATTCTCAGTAAAGAATTTGTTGCTGTTTGATCAATAATGGTTTCCTATCATCTTCTGGTTAGGATGATTTTGAGCATTAGTGATTTTTAGATGGAAACAATGAGAAGCTGGAACTGGAAACATATTTACGACCAAAGATTTCTGAATCAATAGTTCATGTTAACTTGGATGGTTAAGAAATGCTATAATTTATCCTATTTGAGGCATGACTTTGGGTATTCAATTCACTAGTTCAGATCTGATCAAAATGTACTTTCGGAGGATTAATTAAAGTGAAAACGATTATGAGTATCCAGCTGTTGCAGTGGTTATTCATGTTAAATCTGTAATTGGAATTTTAATGTAGTCATATTTTATGGGATTTCCTTTGGGGTATGTCTAGGTTTAAGAAAAAAGAAAGGAGAGGACAAAATTCCACTTACTGGAAAGAAAGCAATGGAAAAGAGAAGATTGTAATACTCACTCGTTGTGTTTTGACTTAGAATGGAAATGAAAGTCTAGTGTTCTGTTTCAAGAGGGATGAGAAACAAAAGGAAAGGGTTTCGCTTAGAAAAATGTATCTTGTGAGGGTGCTTGAAATTTCTTTATTTAATTGTATGGTGATTTAAGTAAAGGAGAGGTAGAAGCAGTCACATCAGTGAAAACTAATTATATCACAGACACCTGGTTTAAGGATATTTACTGTACTTAGCCTTTTTTTTTAAATGGGGTAATTAAAAAAATTTTAGGCTTGGTTTAAAATTAAAATTGCACCGATTTGAATAGATTGCTAGTATGATTTGTAAAGAACTGATGAATCAACGTTGTTATCTCGGAGTCCTGATGAATCAACATTGTTGTCTGCTGGTAACGTGATGATAAGATGTTTCAGTTTGTAGTGCTTTGGAACTCATTATTGCTTGTGATTGAGCTGTTCAAATATCTTAATCATGTTACTGTTATCGTGGTGATGTTTTCTTTCTTTTTGATTCCTTTAAAAGAAGTGTATAAAATTTTGATGATGGTTGCGGGTATGGCAAGTAGCCTCTAGTTGGAATTATTTTGGTCCACGACTATTTCTTTAAAAATCTTGCTCCCTTGCTCTTTTGTCTTCTTAACTCGAGGCATCTTGTCCTATGGTTCTTTCATATCTGCAGAAATTGGCTTCATAGTCATAGCATATTAATAATTTTCTATATAAGTTAGCAGCTCGCTTTCTTGTATGGGAAATGCCTTTAGTTGGATGTTAGTGTGCAAAATCCTGTATAATTTCCAGATTAGTCTTGCTGACTTACTCTTCTGTAGTCATTGACTTGGGGTAATGTGTCTGATTAACTTTTTTCAAGTGGTTGCATTTGGCACATATCTAGAGAACCCATCTCTCTCAATGTTAAAACAGATTTCAAGATAATATATTTTATTCTCTAATTGTTTAGCTTCATTCTGCTATTTCAATTATACTGTAACTGAATTAGGGTTTTTAGTTTCCCCTATTTATTTTGCTCCTAAGAGATAAATGGGTTAGTTTTTCCAATTAAAATACCGCTGACATGCTTAGTGATTTTAATATTGCTCCTTCAGGCGACCGTTA